ATCTATCGATTAATGAAACGACTAATCGACTATTCAGACTATTACTGTATGCCTTGCACAATTTCTCAAACCCTCTTGTTTAGCCATCAACTTTTAGATTTAGCTTGAGGTTGTTTTAGGCATGTGGAAACTAACAATGAAGACAATAAAGATGAATACTTGATTCAAAAATACATATATTATTAAATTAACAAATTGTGAACAAAACTAACATTGCTTTTTATTTAAATTAAATAAATAATATTTCACATCAAAAGAAACAACAATGTTTTAACAAATCGTATTAAATAATGTGATGACAGAACTGTAAACAGAATAGCTGAAACTTTAACAAAATAAATAACTCAGTTTCCTCTAATCATTAACCCATGTTTGAATCATTGAGTTAACTGCGTGTGTTGCTGCTAGCATACATTACACCTGACGTGGAAACGTTACTCGTGGATGGGGCTGCAGAGCTGCTAGAAAGACAGTCGAACCCGGTGCATTCCTCCGTCTGGATGTGGAGCACTTTTGATAAATGTTTAGACACATTGCTCGTGTTACCGCCCTCACATGCTGAACTCTCTTGGCAAGGAGCATTGTCCGCCTCAAGACGGGTAACATTTAACCACACCTTGGAGCGCTTCTCTCCGCCATCCCCGCCGTGTGTTGCTGCTTGTAGCAGCCGCGTGTGTGTAAACTGCCCCGCCCCCTCGCGCACAGACGGGAGAGAGATCTCGTCTCGATTGGAAAGATCGAAAATACACCGACATTTGTTTGTCTTTGTGCATGTTAGAAACGAGTTGGCGACACTAAGATTGCGAGATAATATTTGTGTAGCAATAATACAGACCTTTCTCAACTCGCTACTCGGAGGGAAGTCGCTGTCATATGCCTTGTGAACACTCCGATAATGCCTCTCCACGTTACCTTTCTTTGGCAGAGCGACGCTTGCTTTACAAATAAGGCAAATAACCTTTGAATGTGACATCACAAACAAATATTCTTCCTCCCATTCTGGGTGGAAGTGGTTTGTCTTTAGCTTCTTGCTCGGTCCCGCACTCATTTTGTTGTTTGTCTCTTTAACTTAATTTGAGTTTTCCCGGCACTTGACTGATTTTGTATCGCTTTGCATTCTGGGTTAACAGACTGGAAAGCGATAGGTCGCTTTTTCTGTCAATCAAGTAAACTCCTGAATTAAGTGGCAGGGAGGCCAAGGGAGGAGGGATCAAAACCTGTTTTGTCTATTTTAACGGAACAGGATTTTTTATTTTTATGAATGACTCGCGATCTACCAGCATTGCCCCCGCGGTCGACGTACTGGGCACCTCTGATCTAAATGCTCTCTAGCAAACTTCAGACGGGCCTGGACATGTACTGGCTTAAGCAGGGGGACACGTCTGGCACTGCAGGATTTGAGTCCCTGGCGGCGTAGTGTGTTACTGATGGTAGCCTTTGTTACTTTGGTCCCAGCTCTCTGCAGGTCATTGACTAGGTCCCCCCGTGTGGTTCTGGGAGTTTTGCTCACCGTTCTAGTGATCATTTTGACCCCACGGGGTGAGATCTTGCGTGGAGCCCCAGATCGAGGGCGATTATCAGTGGTTTTGTATGTCTTCCATTTTCTAATAATTGCTCCCACAGTTGATTTCTTCACACCAAGCTGCTTACCTATTGCAGATTCAGTCTTCCCAGCCTGGTGCAGGTCTACAATTTTGTTTCTGGTGTCCTTTGACAGCTCTTTGGTCTTGGCCATAGTGGAGTTTGGAGTGTGACTGTTTGAGGTTGTGGACAGGTGTCTTTTATACTGATAACGAGTTCAAATAGGTTCCATTAATACAGTTAACGAGTGGAGGACAGAGGAGGCTCTTAAAGAAGAAGTTACAGGTCTGTGAGAGCCAGAAATCTTGTTTGTTTGTAGGTGACCAAATACTTATTTTACCGAGGAATTTACCAATTCATTCATTACAAATCCTACAATGTGATTTCCTGGATTCTTTCCCCCCATTCTGTCTCTCATAGTTGAAGTGTACCTAGGATGAACATTACAGGCCTCTCATCTTTTTAAGTGGGAGAATTTGCACAATTTGTGGCTGACTAAATGCTTTTTTGCCCCACTGTATATGGAAATCATAATCATGTGATTAATTGATGATCAGAGACATTTAAGGAAGTAAGTTATATTGTTGCTCCATATCCCGATATTACTAGGTATCAGAAAAACTGATTATTAAAGTGCACTCAGGCGGCCTGACTTTCCACTGCTTTTAGTATATTGCTAAATCACAACCTATTGCTTGTTAAATAAATAAAAAAACTAAAAAGGAAATTATTTCCGCCATTATTTTATTAAACAAATTGGACATTGAACTCAAATCGAAAAGCCCCATTCAAAAAGGATTATAGCTACATTTTAAATAGCTGTTTCTAAGAATAGTTGCAATATCAGTCTTTCATGATGTGTTTATAGCACAGTTAAACGCAATGACAATAAATACAAAATATATATTGTGCATCATCCCTTATAGATATTAGATAAGATATCATTGTTAGTTTCTTATAATAAATGACCGAACTGAACCACATTTGGTTTCCAGTGAAGCTGCAGAGTGGCAGCGGCTATAATCTCCCTCACTGACCTACTGCTGCTCTGTTATCAGCGTGTCACCTGATGTGATGTGACTGGCTTTCATTTGAGTCACTGACCGCCAATTGTACAAGAGCTTATACTGATGATATCATTCAACGTCATGCCTTCCCCTAACCCCTTACACAGACCAGCTGACTCAGAAAAGTAATATTATTTGATTTGTTCAAATGTTTCTCAGACACGTCTTTTAAAACAAAAAATTACTCATCAAATGTTTAACATATGCTGGAAAATGAGCCTTCTTGAAGTTAATACATGCATTGCTTAGGCACTTTTAATTGAAGCAGATGATCGACACACCTCTGAAATCTTCACATTTGCTGTTAAAGAAGTTTCACGTCAGGTCTGTCGGTGTATAGCTGGAGATGCACTGACTTTTACAGTATCATTTCTAAATAAAGGTAAAATATAATCGAAGGTAGCCATTGAGAGATTAGTTAGCCAGTCTTATTACACAGTAACCTTTATAGTTGTTTCCAGAACAACCCCAAGTATCAGTTCTTTCATTATATTAATGCAGACAATACTTCAATTTGAAATAATGTATTAAATAGGTGAGTATAAACTATTCCACATGTGTTCATACTGTATGAATACTAGAAAATAATCTTCAATAACTATAAAGACACATCAGAATATTTTCATTACTGAAAGCTTATCTTAAATTACATTTCTGGTTCTATTATCTAAAAATAGACACATTTATTTTCAGTTGCCAAATGGTTGTTCCGTCTCAGCTCTTGTACTGATATTGACTCCATGATAATGCTTGTGTTTTTTAAATTTTTTTAATCGTACTTTGATTCTAGTGCTAGTTTGCCAGCTTTATTAAACGACACGCTTCCAGAAAGAATTATCACGAAGAAAAATAAATCCTTACTTATCCATAGAGTAAAACTAAAACTAGACCGAACCATAATGCCTTTTAAAACTCAGACAAGGTCTATGTGCAGATACTGAGCTAATCCAGTATTAACATATCAATACAACCTTTCCCAAAATCCACAACCAATACGACAAAGGAAATAAGACTAGAGCTTCTTACAGAAAGAGACTTTAAAAATGTCTTTGTCCAATTGTAAGACAAAAGGATGAATAATAGATGTGCAGTATACAAACATATCTCAATGATTTATAGTGCAGGGATGTTAATGATAGAACCATGGCGACTGATCAGAGCAACACTGTATCATAAATGTGTAATGCGGACATTTGAAAAGCTTATATCATTATCTGCCTTACACATGCTTTCCCTTTCTCTCACACCTAGCAGTCAGCCACTTTGTGAAAACACCTGCCACTACACATACACATCACATGAGGACAGGAAAAGACAGCAGCTCTACTCCAGCCATTTCAGAATCCCTGCAAGCAAACCAATAATAGGAACTGCCAGATTAAGAGCAAGACAATGGAGATCATTTTAGATGACTAAACTATAGTTTGGCATGCTATTCGTCACTGGTGAAATGTAACTACCTTAATAAAGTACTGTAATGAAGTACAAAATGGAGGTACTTGCACTTTACTTGAGTATCTTTTTCTACTTTATACTATTACTGCAATACATTTTGTGAGCTGTACTTTTTACTTCACTACATATATGTTTTACATATTGAGTTACTGGTTACATTGCAGGTTTAGGTTCTTCATACAAAAAAATATATCAGCTAACATATTATCATATAATATTAACACATTAATGCACCAATAATTGTAATAAAATAATGTAAAAAATATGCTAAAGTATATTTGAATGCTAATCCTTTAATACTTTTACTCAAGTACAGTTTGAATACAGGACTTTTACTTGTAAAGGATTATTTTTACACTGAATTATTTATACTTAAATACATAATTTGAGTACTTTTTCCACCTCTGCTATTAATAAATTGAAAGGTAAATGGCACCTGTCTCTGCGACATATTCAAAGAAGATTGGAGATTAAAAAAAACACACTAACCCTTACCCTACCGACTACAAATCCGGATTTACCCTACGGTGTCTTTCCCACTGTTTTACTCCATACGAACAGAATCTGTGACGTTAAATCCCACAAATAATCTATATGACGAATTTGGGATCTAGATCCAACGCTTTCTGCTGCTGCACTCACACACTGTAACGTAGGGCTTTCAGTTCGTGACTGGCAAGCGAACTAGAAAATACCGGTCGACTCGGGACTCAAACCGTGGTTAAAGCGGATAATCTCCAGGCGCTGCATCAAACGAACACACACACATAGCATCCATGTTTGTGAGCCTAGCCTGCACTACGTCTGGTTTAAATAAACAAGCTAGCATTTAGCTCGCCAACTAATCCAAGGGCAGCAAACTGACTAGCCCAACGGCTAACTATGTCCTTTTCTTACCTTGGTTCAGTGTGGCTTCTGTTTATCAATAAAATGAGACGTCACTCGATTTTTTTTCCTTCTTTTATGATAATCGCATCCCAGTTCGTCTTTGCTTTCCGCCGCTAAACCATTCAAATAGTCGGGTAGTAGAACCAGCGAGCTAACGGCTACTTGTCAATCCCAATCCTGGTGGAGCGGTTGCGCGCAAACCCTCCCACTCACTCTCACCCGCCCTCTACTACAAAGCGCGTTCACGTTGACAGCAGACGGACGCGCTCACGTCATTACAGGAAGTCAGCGTCGTTACCAGCAAAGCGACCAAGAAGAAGAAGAGGAGTAATTGATAAACTCTACTAATCCTTCTGCAGGTATTTTAAGTTTTAGTTTATCTTGAATTGCTCATATACACAGTTGGATTTTTTTGAATAACGTTTTCAAGTTGGATCAATTGTAATGGTTTTGCCTCCGTTGTGTGTCGGTTTAGCTAAGTCACAGGCTAACGTTAGCTTTGACTGCCAGCATGACACAGCTAGAACTTTAGCACAGCTAAGCTAACCGCTACTTTTGATAGCTTTGCTTTGAAAAGTATTTTTTACACAAACGAACGGCTCCAAACCTCTTAAAACGTTTTGATTAGACAGCAACACTATTGTTACGGTCGGACATGACGTTACAGTATTGAACTATACGAAATATCTGTAATAGTTAACAGTAGAAAATGACAGTATCCAGAACTGACCTACAGTCAGTGTTGTTAAGAAGAAACACTACTCAGCTCTTTTGAGGTTTTCTTTTAAGTAACTAATTTATCAAATATGATTTTATGTGGGTTAGTTAATTTATAAATTAATAATTAATGTATTAATCAACCAATTGTCTTATATTAATCAGAACAATAGCACATAATGCTTTTGAAGGCAGAAGTTACGTTCATTATTAATTTGTAATACTCTGACAGTACTATTGTATCATATGAAAAAAAGTAAATCTTTCAGAGATTGTTTTAATACCCAACTTGATTTGCCTTGGTTTACCAATTTATAAAGAGATTCTGGGTTCAGTTCAATACAAATCTCACACAGTACTTCTCTTTGTCGTGTTTTACACTCGTATCAATGAGGACCAAGCCACATTGAAATGTATGTAAACTTCTATGTTCCTGCAAACCTGACCCCTTTTTCTTTTCCTCCAGTATTCAGGCTCGTTTACAAAGAGGCCTAAAGATGTCGTCAGGTGCTTTGTTCCCAAGCTTGGTGAGCGGCTCCAGGGGAAGCTCCAGCAAGTACCTGGTGGAGTTTCGCGCCGGGAAAATGACCCTGAAGGGGAACGTGGTGACACCGGACAAACGCAAAGGCTCGGTGTACATCCAGCAGTCAGACGACTCCCTGATCCACTTCTGCTGGAAGGACAGGACATCTGGGAATGTTGATGATGTGAGTAACTTAAAAGCAACAACATGATTCAAAGGTTTTATTGTCATATGCACAAAGTTAAAGTGTAGAAATGGTAATGAAATTCTTCTGACCTGAGCTCCTCCAACAATGCAACATATATAATAAAATAAAAAGTAGTGCAAATAGTCTATATACTTTTACTTTTTGGTGTTATTATATTCAGACATGATGTACATTCCACAAATAATACAACAAACAAAATGAGGGCCTCAGTTTGTCATTTAGCCTATTCGAATCATTCTTTATTGTCGATAAAAGCTGACACATTGAATCTTAATTTAGTTTGGCTTCCACAGAGCAAGAAGTAAGGTGACCGTTTTTTTGTTCTGCCGGTAACTGGTCGACGATGATTTGTTGTGACAGAAAACAACCTCAGTGTTTTTCTCTCTCCTCTCGTTTACATGTCCTATGTTTTGGGTTTCTGTTTCCAGGACCTGATCATCTTCCCCGATGACTGTGAATTCAAGAAGGTGAGCCAGTGCACCACCGGACGAGTCTTTGTGCTGAAGTTCAAAGCCGGATCCAAGAGGCTGTTCTTCTGGATGCAGGTGAGAGGAATCAGATATACATGCTGTCTTTGTGAATGCATGACATCTGTGTCCATTTGTATTCAGGCAGGTGGTTGCTCAATAGAGGGACAGTGAGTGGAGAATGGGGGGGCAATGCCAGCAGAGAAGAGAGATGAATACACAGGGCTGTAATCGGTGTGTTTGTCAAGCAGCCACACATTTTACATTCATCCTAACTACTGGTTTCTTTGTCTCTGCTCCAGTCTAAAAGGATTTCTATAGTCAAAATAAGAGGCTAACTTATCTATGTGGTTTTATTTTCTTTGTATATATTTTTGTTCAAATAGATTCTCTTCTGACTTGCCTAAACAAATGTTAAATATTTAGTGTGAATTTTCAGCAATATTTCTGTAGATTTAGGTTGTTTATATTTTAAAATCAAGTGTTTTTTTAGTTGTCTTTAATGAGTTTGGGAGTTGTCAATCATGCTTTGTGAACCCACCACAAGAGGCTAGCCTGGTCATTTGGTCTGTGGGGGATTTGGCTCTTCTTACAAGGAATTCTTCTTTGCCTTCAGGAGCCAAAGTCCGATAAGGATGACGAGTTCTGTCGTAAGGTGAACGAGTACCTGAACAACCCTCCCATCCCCGGAGCCGGAGGGAGCGGGGGGGGCAGCGGACATGAACTCTCTGCACTGGGAGGAGAGGGAGGCCTGCAAAACCTGCTGGGAAATATGAGCCATAACCAGCTGATGCAGCTGATCGGACCGACAGGACTGGGAGGACTGGGTGAGCAGCTCGCCATATTTCTCTGACATGAGCTCAACACGCAGGAACTTGTATCTGTCGAGAAACGGGAAGTCACGTCAGAAAATGGCAATACAAATAGCCAGAAAAAGTACTATTTCAAGAAAAAGTACAACTGGTGTTAGTAGTGCATTTCAAAACATTCAATTCCTTGTACTTCCTTTCTGACACATGAGTTCGCTCTGTTTTAAATATGAATCCAACATAAATTTGGGCCTTTTTTTGATTTGTTTTATTGTTGTCTAAGGAGGTCTGGGAGCTCTAGCAGGACCAGGACTCGCTAACCTGCTGGGCAGCGCGGGGCCGACCACCACCAGCAGCTCCTCCTCCAGGTGAGAGAGAACACGCATGTAGACCATATTACATTTTTAAAATAAAGTACTGCTGAACTCACCCCCCCCCCCCCCCCCACCACCACCACCACCCCCCCACCACAGCTCTCGCAGCCAGTCAGCGGCTGCTACTCCTTCCTCAGGCGGGGCCTCCAGGCTGAGCTCCACTCAGGCCCCCACCACCCCCGTGACCCCTGCTGCCTCAGCCGCCTCCCCTACTACTGTTGCTCCCTCCACACCAGGTACAGCTTTAGCACAGGGACCTACTACTACTCTTTATCAACTACACCACATAAATCAACTTGAAACACTTCGATAGCCACAACAATGTCTCTCCTCATTGGGAACAAATCAAATAATAACTGAGTAGCTATCCAATTGCTGATAGAGAATCTTCAAACCTTGTGTCCTTCCAACATACACCCAACCCTAAAAAGAGTATCAAGAGCTACATTTTCAACAACCTATTTGACCCCCCCCCCCCCAGCCTCAGCTCAGACCCCGCTGGCCCCCGCCTCCGTTGGGAGCCCCGGCTCTCACCAGCCCATCCAGCTCAGTGACCTTCAGAGCATCCTCGCCACCATGAACGTCCCAGCAACCTCAGCTGCTCAGGGAGCCGCAGGTGAGTGACAGAACACTGAATGTAGGATTCAGATTTAAGAGTGCTTCGGAACAACAAAAGCCTCCGCTAAATGAGGGAGGTCGAAGAGGAGAGAGGTTACCCCTGAGTCTAAACTGACTCCTCTCCTGTGCTGCAGTGGACCTAGCAAGCGTTTGCACCCCGGAGATGATGGCTCCCATCCTGACCAACGCTGAGGTCCAGAAGAGGCTCCTCCCCTTCCTGCCCAGCGGGGAGAGTCTACCACAGAGCGCCGAGGAGATCGAGAACACCATCAGCTCACCTCAGTTTCAACAGGTAACACATACACACCCAGGAGCTCCAAGTACACAGACGTGTTGATCCTCTGCGGAACATGCCTTGTAGCCCCACATACGCTAATTATATACAATGTGATTACAAGCTCCTGATTGTGGCTGATTATGTCTTGGAAGGGAGATTTCATTTGCTAACTGTAATTGTTAAAGGGTAACACAGTTAATGTAATGACACGTGGTATGTTTTATTGCTGTAATCTACCACACTGACTGGTTCCTCCCTCCCTCCCTCAGTCCATGAGCATGTTCAGCAGCGCGCTGGCCTCAGGTCAGCTCGGCCCGCTCATGAATCAGTTCGGTCTGCCGGCTGAGGCTGTGGAGGCCGCCAACAAAGGAGGTAAGTGTGGAGAAAAGGAGAAATGGACAAAGTTTGTCTTTTTGTTATATATAATAAAGAAAGTCAATATACAAGTGTCCCAAATGTAGGAACAGAGCTACTTCACCTCAGAGGATGGAGAAGCTCACTGTCTAGTAGAGAGAATAGCCAACTGGTCCCACCCTTAAAGCCCCTTAGCATCATCTAAACATCCCCACCATTAAACCCCCTGGTCCTTAACCCTTTGCATATCCCCCTTTTACCCTTTATCCCTCCAGAGATGTAAGTCCTTAACATGTCTCTGTTAAACACATACAAGACTACAAATACCCCTTGACCCTTAGATGCCCGAGTGACTGGACCCTACTCCATAAGTGAGTCAAAAAGGACCCGTATTAGAATAATGTTTTTTTGTCATTTTGGTTAAGAAAAATCACTTGTATAATATTTAGTATTATATTTTGGTTCATACTAGAAATAATTTATATTTAATTTTAGACCTTTTTTTTACATTTTGAAAAATATAGATGCAAAGATCTCTGCTATTCTGAGACCCTCACAGTATACCACTCCCTTTTCACAACTCATCTCTTCCTGTCTATAGCCCACTCCCCATCAATCCATGCCAGTTGATCAAGTGTGATACCCCCCACCCTAACCTTCCCTTATATTGTAAAGCGATTTTGAGTCCTTGAAAAGCCCTATACAAATATAATGTATTATTATACTGACAGGTATCAGATCTTGCTGTGTAAAATAATCTTCCTGAGAGGTGTCACCTGTCTGTGTGTTCCACAGTGAATGTATTCCTGACGGAACAGGTGATCAGAATCAAAGGTTCCCACAGGAAATGCATGCGGGTCATTTTTGACCCACTTATGGAAGAAATACAAAAACGGCATGATATCCAAAACATGTTTTTTGAGGAATAGCTGGAATATGAAATGATAAAAAAAATGTAATTACAAAGATACTTCAAGAAAACCACCACTTATGGAAGCGTGGGGTTAGTGTAAGACTGTTTTAAATGATTATACGATCATTTGACACGACAGTCAGACGCGCGCAAAATAAGAAAGGCTTGGAAAAGTGCATGATTCCCTTTTTGTAAAGCGCTTTGTAAATGTAACATTGTTCTCTCTCTCCTCGTCAGATGTGGAGGCGTTTGCCAAAGCCATGCAGAGCAGTAAAGGAGACGGGAAGAAAGAGGACGACGAGGACATGAGTCTGGATTAGAGCTCACACTGCCTTTCCGTGGTCTTACACTTCTCTGTATCGATGCAGCACACTGCGCCTCACTCAGGGTTAGCAGAGCGGCTAACACACGTTTGTTTTTACGATGACTACCAAGTCTTCAAAGGGACCATTACTTCGTTCCTTTCTGTTTAACCGTAAGGCTTTTCTTTCTAATTCACTCTTTATTAAAATCATATTGGCAAACCAAAACAACACGCCTCAAGACTCATCTTTTGAAAATGGGAAACAAACACCAGAGAGAACAGTTTGTATGAAACAAAACTTTATTAAAAATACATGTACAACACATGGGGGAGCAGGAGTGAGGGAGAGGGACAGCTTATTCATTCTGTGAGATATTTCATTAAAAAGTGGTTATATTACATACAAGATTCACTCCTGTTTGGTACACGTTTACATTTGTGACGGAGATGGGAACGCTGCCTGCTAACGGGACGCGAGCCGACAGACGGGACGTTGTGCTGCGCTCACGAGGGTTTCAAATACTCTCAATATAGCACTACATTGATACATTCTAGGATTCATTACCTCAAAGGATTCAAGTCGTTACAGCTGTCTCTCGGTCTTAATTACAACTTGGATGGGAAACTGGTATTTCCAGTAACTTCAACATGAAAGCAGAATGATCAGTGGATAGAAAATATGGGCCGCGTTGGAAATGAAATAACGCAACGAGAACACATTTCTTGTCATAAGTTGGATCATTTGTGTAAAAGAATTAGCCATGTTCTGTTATTATTTAACCCTTAGATGCACGAGTGATGGACCCTCTCTTCCATAAGTGGGTCAAAAAGGACCCGTATTAGAATAATGTGTATTTGTCATTTTAGTTAAGAAAAATCACTTGTTTTATATTTAACTTTTCACTATTTATACATGTTCCCATAGAAAATGCATGCGGGTCATTTTTGACCCACTTATGGAAGCTTGGGGCAGTAAAACAAAAACTACAATGTCTTAAAATGTAAATTAAAAATTAGAATGGCATGATATCCAAAACATGTTTTTTGAGGAATAGCTGGAATATGAAATGATAAAAAAATGTAATTGCAAAGATACTTGAAGAAAAGACCCACTTATGGAAGGCACAATATATTGATAACATCTTTCAGTCTTAACAGGTTTTGTACAGAACTTTGTAAGCATACTTTACTTTAACAGATCTTGAGCACCTTGAATTACACGATTATGTGTGAAGGAGGAACAAGTGGACTTCTAACATCGAGGAGACAAGAGGATTATGGTCAGACAAGCAACAATATTAAACTAAAATCAAACAGCCAATGACCTAAATGCTCTTATCTCCTCTTCCTTTGTTTCAATGTAATTACTCAACCTTTCATTAAACGCATCTTAGAGACTTAATGAACTGATATTCCCAAAGCTCAGTCCTGTCCCAGTTACAGGCAGCGTCTCCATCGGCTGCCTGAGGACTCGTACATTACAGTGTACCGACTCAGTAGGAACTCTTAACATTCTCCGCTAGAGATGCACGATAAACGGCTGTACACATCGTTCACTTATTAAAACATAATGCATATAATTCATAATTCAGGAAATGTTTTTGAATGATTGACATAATGTACTTTTCATTTGTTTGCAAGTTAAAGCTTTGTTGCCTTTATTTACAATATACTACACGTTTTAGAATTGATATGTGGTAGCAGTGACTCAGTGCACCTCTACAGTCAGACAGCTGTTGCTATAGCACCCTGTAGCATAGAAACAAACCAGTAATAACGACAAACTGTCAAATATAAAATATACATTTTTCTGAAAATAGAAAATAAATATTATTATATATATTTTAAATTAGCTACAGTAACATGGCACCCACCACCAGCAATTTGTAGTCGGGGAATGTGAGGATAAGACTGTTTTTGCGTGTTGGGTTTACATGTGGGGGCAGCCCTGCGTGCCCACAGCTCCGTGCAGAGCGAGCGGTTTGGACAGCATGGCGGCGCGCTGGTTAATCATCGCCAGGCGGACGCAGCCGTGGAAGACAGGGAGACCGGCGGGGAGACCGGGAACTGGGGCGCCATCTGGAGAAGAGAGAGAGGGGCGAGCAATTAGGGCAACTGGGAGATGTACGATTTTAAAGGTCCCCTATTATACTGTTTTTCATCAATATATTACAGGTCTCAGATATATACAAACATGTCTCTGAAGTGTTTGGCTCCAAACACAAAACAGATCTTTGCAGCATTACCCATAATCCCCTCTGTTTCAGCCCTGTTTCAAAAGTGCCGATTCTCTGTCTGTTACTTTAGATGAAAATAAGGAGCCCCTCCCCACGCCCCTCTGAGAGATATGTGGTTAGAAAGAACTCAATGGTGCTCTAGGAGGAGATTCAGGTGATAAGGGGGGGGGGGGTTACCTTGGTGATTGGCTGATGGTTACACAAGACAAAAAATCGTTATGACATCATAAAGTGGCCAAAATCTGATCAGCTCATTTTCAGACAGGTTTTTATAGAAATGGATCAGGACAAAAAGAGAGAGAATCTTTGTTCCTGAAACTTCCAGAATCACTTTCCACAGAGGGGACACATGTTTATCTATAAAAGACATGAACAAGTGGATTTTGCACAATAGGTGACCTTTAAGAGTTTTTATTTTTTAAAAGAATCAAACATTAGATTCAATCAGAAATGCTAATAAATTATGAAATAGTTGTCAGATTTTATTTATAATAAATTATAATATTGTCTTTTTCTAGAGAGGACAATTTGCTGTCTCTCTTAGTTGCAAGTTGTACATTTTGGCTTTAGCTTTTTATTACTTTGTATGCTGCTATGGACAATCGTGCACTAATGCACATTCTCAAAGATATTGAAGTGACTGTTATTTTGTATATATTGACTGTTGTGTTTTTATTTAGGTCTTAATGTGTGCATTTATTTAAATATGTCTTTGATTGTGTATATAGGTATATACTTATTTGCACACCTTTTTATATATATTTGTTTTTGTATTCGGGATTGTACGAAACGGTATTTCGATCTCTCTGTCTGTACACACAAACTGGAAGATTGACAATAAAGTTGACTTGGACTTTTTGATTTTTTTTTAATAGTGAACAAATCAAAGAGGTGTGTGTGAATGTGAACTCACCGGGGACCCCTCCGAGGTAAACGGTCTCTAAGCCCCCTGCAGAGCGGCTCTGTCTGGGCCCGACGCTCTGCTCACTGGCTGCGTCCACTCGGAGCTGCAGGACGTTGTTCTTCTTCACCACTGGACACACACACACACACACACACACACACACACACACACACACACACACACACACACACACACACACACACACACACACACACACACACACACACACACACACACACACACACACACACACACACACACACACACACACACACACACACACACACACACACACACACACACACACACACACACACACACACACACACAATCTCAGTGCTACAACAGGGCCAGGGGTCATTGCTTTAAATAAACTGTCTAAATATTTTAATCAACCTTATTTCCATGACTAAAACAGACAATACCAACATCATTTAATACTTACTATGACAATATCTATTGTTGACGAAAAACATGTAAGTTCTAAAGTGCAACTGTTTACTCGAAACCTTTTTATTTTAGTTTGACGCTGTGATAATTCATTTGTAGACTGACCTGTGATGGTGTGCCAGCGTCCGTTACACAGAGGCTCCTCAGGAGTAAAGGAGGTAGAGAATTCACCTTTGCCGCTGTTTATTGAAACAGTCACCTGCACAAAAACACAAACTTAATTTACATATATTCTTTTAAATCATTCAATAATCATTTTTAATATGACTTTTTCCTTTTAAAATTCACAAAAAATGTCCCCAGTTTTCGTCAGACCCTCCCTGGTGTGCTCAGTCTCACCTTTCCCTGGCTGAGGACCACACTCAGGTACATCTCAGCTGTTGTCCCAGCATGCAACAGCAGCCCGGAGTCCGAGACGGGCCGAACTTCCAACTGGATCTCCAGATCCCGATCCAGAACTAAGGACTCGTCTGCAGGGAGAGAAACCGTCAGTCAGGACTCAAACAAACATGTGATGACTCAAATGTTAACCAACAAAATTTGAATTTCCGGAAACTACAAGGATCCGAATAATTCAGATTTGATAAACTCAGTACAAGTCAGATATGTGGGGTAAAATAACATTTCATCTCGAAAGACATTGAATTAAGCACATTTTCTTTCCCACAAACCCTGACTATGACGTTTGAAGTATGATTTTTATCTGAGGTCCCTGGAGAGATGTTTCAAAGTCCCCAATAAAGTAAAAGAGTTAAAGCTACTAACTTCTATGTGGTTTCAAAACTTGAATCAGAATACCTTTATTAGTCCCACAGAGGGGACATTTACATTGGTACAGCAGAAAAGAGCCTAAGAAGCATGCATACAAAAACAATTAAAGATAAAAAAAAAGAAGATTATAATAACAAAAGTTACACAATTTTCAAAAAACACAGCCTGTAACAGTTCGGAGGAATTAGCAGCCAGGTATATGTTGCACATAGTTGGAAACCATGAGTATGTTGCATTTGTCCTCATCCTAAATATAGTCTTTGGCCACAGATGGGTAATGACCACAGAAGAAGAGTGATGCCCACCAATGAGGATGTGTCCTCCCTGTCCAGAGAAGTAGGCTCCGGGCTGCAGAGGGTCCTGGAAGCAGGGCACCGTCCCCTCGCTGTAAGTGGGGTTTCCTGCAGGGGCTTCGTTGAGCGTCAGGTCCCTGACACAACCCACGAACCCACCGGAGCCAGGAGCCTGGAGGTCAAGGCAAGGCAAGTTTATTTATATAGCACTTTTCAACACAAGGCAATTCAAAGTGCTTTACAAAAATGAAAGACATTAAGAGCATTAAGAAATGGCATTTAAAAACACTCATTTAAAAGCAAAGATACATGAATCAAAGTGACAGTGCAGTGTGAGATACACACATCTGAAATGTTTAGGTCTGACTCTCAATCATTGCTAACTTTTTTAGCAGAAATGGTTTTCTTTGACTTCACTTTCTGTCTACTTTCTTTTTTAACATGTCCTTTAGTTATCAAGTGTTTCATGCTAAACGAACCCCCCTTTGGAGAATTATAATCTGCAACCCAATATTGCGAAATATTCAACGGATCCTGGCCATATTTGTGTAGCATAAACAATTCATTTGCTCCC